CTAAGGTTTGCACACATGCTTGATTTAAAAGAGCAAATTATGACTCATTTAAGTCATACAAAAGGAAAATAAAAGAAGGCGTGGCAAAAAAAGAGAAGGTTGAAAGGGCTGGAATGTTCTTTCAGGTAGGTGAGATTATAAAACCTCTTTTGGATAAAAATGATCAGTTTTTGTGAGAATTCTGTATTTTCATTACGCGTCCTAGTCGATTAGCAGACGCCTAATTAATCTCATTTTCTAATTGTCATTTCAAATGGCAAAACCATCTCGAATTGGCTCTTTAGAACTACTTTGTGACTAAATTATTCCTGGTGTGAAATAAAACATAAAATGCATACAACTAAATAAAATGAGAGGGCCAGGAAATATAAAAGAACTGGTCCAGAAACGATAAAATCCCAAATGTAGCACTGACCATTACCAGCAGCTTTAGTCATTAGCAACATGCAACAACATAGCAAGAATAAAGTAAAACATAAATATATGGCATTAAGAGAAAAATATGCAAAAACTAGTTTAAAAAAAAGCACAGCTGCCACAGTGCTCAGGTACCATGAACCTGAACAATGAACATTAGACAACCTGGAACTGAAACGAATTCATAAAAAGGGGATTTTTGGACAAATAAAACACCATTCAGAAACAAAAAGCTGTGTCAAGCAGACATTATTTTCCTCAAGAAAACATCTTATGCATGATAAATGATGATGATACTCTTAGTTAGTCTTTATTCTGACTGCACGGTAGCCATACTATCATAACCTCAAAACAATGCTTTAAAAATTCCAGCCCTTCCAACCAACATGAATAGTGGGTCTCATTCAGCGGTCAGGTTGTATTGAACAAGGCAGGTGTTTGTCCTCTGCAATGAAAACCCTGTCAGATTCCTAAAATGCTTGACAACTCAGAGATGCTGCATTACCAAGGTAAAAAAACAAACAAACAAACATGCAAATTACACTTGAGAGTCAAAAATACAAAACTGTTCTTCAAGCTTAATACAATTTTGAAAAAACTAAACTAAACAAAAGAAAGTAGTGACAGACTAACATCGCCAAACGACAGCAAACAAATCTGCCGCCTCCATTTCCAGGAACTGGTTCAGTCTAAACAACACACCCAAAAGGTCAGAAATTCTTTCCTCTCCGACAGAAGGGAAGGGGGCACAAAAACGAAATTGGGAGCGCTGTAGCGTCAGTGTTTGTGTCAACTCTGAAGGACAATATGCTGTTTAGAAAAGAACATTTTAGAGCCAAGTCTTTGCACCACCGATTAGATATGAACAATGAAACAAAAACAGAGCTAGTTCTGGGAAATAATGGCTTTCATATCTCATTAGGAAGCAGACATTCAGTTCAAAAGCATGACAGTTTTCATGGGGAAGGGATGACACAGATAACAGGCCAACAAGACCAGGGTTTTTTCTTGATTTGATTATAAAGAAAATGATGACTCTTCAAATACCAGTGTCACAAATTGACCATAAGAATATTTCACAATTAATGAAACTGATTAATATTTCACTTTACGTTATGAGTCTATCTAACACTTCTTTAGATAGACCTTTAGTTTTCTCAACTAAAGATATAATTTGCAGTGGTCTTGTAAATTTGTTTTGATTTAAAGTATTGCATTGTGATGCTACAGACTTTCTTTGGTTAAGTATTTGACATTAACTCAGAATTCTGTAATTTTCTGGGCAAGTACACCTCAAAAAGCACAAATCAAAAGTTTGAACCATATGCACTACACAACTGTATGTAATGCTGCATTCTTGGACTTGTCTACAACAATATACGTATATAATAGATATGTAGCTAAATAATGCATCTATGTGTTTAAATAACACTCTAAAATACATGTCTTTCTAATTAATTAAATAATTACCCTTATCTAATCTCCTTGGGGATTCATCATTTTAGCAAGGGTTAGCACAAACTCCCTTCTTACTTTTTGATCTTGTCAAAGTGCTTTTTCTGCAGAATGACATGCAGCGGCTGAAAAACAAGTGATGCAAGGGAAAGCGGATACGATGAAAAAGCTGCATACGAAAATGGTGAGTAAAAGACATGCTGGTGTCAGGTACCTCCTTCAGTAGGTGTGAACCGCAGTGAGAGAGAATGCCAGAAAGAAACACTGGCAGTGCCAACTGACTTAATGGCATTAAGGATCATTAATAAGGGGAGAGGGCTTGTCGGCCCCAGGCTAAAAAACTGCAGTATGCACACAAATGAGGAGTCTGCACATATCCAAGAGGCATTTTCCAAGGTTTTACAAACACACAAAGGCTGGCATCCAACTCCCACGCTCCACACTGCAGCCTTCGTGTAAAGGGCGGACCCTCCAGGAAAAGTGGTTTCCTAAAGCAAAGTTTGTGAGTGTGGCGCTAATGGAGGCCACAAATGCGCTTTGTCAGATTCAAAAGGGCTTGCAACATCCCATCTTTAGGTCAGATTTAACTGTGTTGGATATTACCACTCACATTTTAAACTATTCAGTTTCATTGCCTGTTCCTTTATTGATGTCACTGTGGGCATTAAAGGCTGAAGTTTGTCTTCCGCAATGTAAGCAATGGATTAGAAACAAAGCAGATGGTTTGCTTGAAGAGCAGCCCACACTACTCATTTCCACAGCACTGATTACAGGCTGCAGGAAAGAGGAAAAAAGATGGTCAACTGCCATATGTTTCCTAGCTCTGGAATAAAAACAACACTCGAAAAATGGCCTCCATGAAACAAACTTTTTTTTTTTTTTGGAACAACCACAGTACATCTTTTTAAAAGGTAACTATGCCTTTTCCAATTACAACCTTTAGTCTGCATTAAGGATCTAAACAAAGCTGTTACATCTACAATGGCACAGGAGACATTATCAACTTGATCAAAATCCAGCAAATTTTACACTTGATTGGACTGAACAACTATAATTCAATAAATAATTAATATAGTGAATGAGAGGATATAATCATGGACAAATGAGGAACCTTACTTCACAAAAGTCCATGACTTCCTGCCCATGTTCTACAGTGCTCTTAACAAACCAACATGCAATTGATGGGGTATGTTCTTTGTTTTTACTGTTCTAAGAAAGAATATATCCTCCTACAGCAGCATATGAGCCATCCTTACACCTGCATTTCTAAATCTAACGTGCTTTAGAATGGATGAATGAGTAATGGAATTCTATGCTATCTGCAGTTTAATCATTAGCTCAAACTAATTCCTGTTCAGTGGCTCCTTGGACGTTTAAGGTATACTTAAAAAATAGAAAATATGTATTCAAATTGTTCTTTAGAAAAGATCCTTTGTAGGAAATGAACATAGTCACCTGGTTTATTATTTTCTAAATCATTTACTTATTCCTCTTCAGGCTAGGCAGTTAGCATCATTTGTTACCTAAACTGCCACTTATTTAGGTCTATTTTCCACCACAAAACGTTTCAAGCCAACAATTTTCATAGAAGTGAGAAAGGGAAGGGTGATACGTGTCATACAGAAACTCCTGATATCCCCAGCCAAATTTAATTTAATAATGAAAATGAATATGCTGCATGTAAAGAAAAATACAAGAAAAATACAATGTGTTTTATTGAGTGGCAAATTACAGGAAAAATGTATTTAAAGTGTGCATTCCTGGAAATGGTGTTATAAAATGAATAAAAAGTGATTTGTAGATCTATTTTTGCCATTTAAACCTTGTGAAAATAAAAACTGAAACTTATATTACCCCTGCTCTCCTACAAAACAGCCTAGATTTGTGAATAAAGAGCCTGAGGGGGAACAATGAGAGTCAAAGCTCCTGTTTGGTTTTCCCAGTTTCCTGAGTCTCCATAAATGCTGCAGTGCACCGCCGCCATCTTACTTCTCTATTCTCTGCCGTCTCATCATTTAGATATGATCACGGCGTCAATAACGTACAACTGATGTCATTTTAACACTAGTAATATTTCAAATATATCCCAAATAAAACGCAACTTAAAGTGGCAATTGTGACAAACGCACATTGTTGACTTATTACCCAACAAAACACGCCCACTGTCTAAAATTTAGCCCTCGGGATATGAAAAAAATGACAACATTATCACGAATATAACATAAAGAAACTGCACTATAACTAAAAAAATCTGACTTTTTTTATTTAGGTAACGACTTGAAGAGTGAATTGAACCCGATAATTCATCCACGATTTGTAGTGACACAGGGTTGTAAGTCAAACGTGTCATTTATTTACAGTCCCTCATTGTATGAAGGTGATTATCATGAATGTGAAGGGAGAACAACCGCTAATCAGAAATGTGGGTTTCCTTTCTTCCTCTTTCTTTAATACTGATAAACAACAACGTTAAGAAAATACTACGATCATAATCACTGTCAAATTCCCGACAGCGCTCAATGAAACTTCCGCTCTGACGCTTCAGAATAAAATGACCAACCGAGATGTTAGGCAGTCACTTTAAAATTTATCTCATGTCATTTAATTGTAATATGCTTTATTAAATGTACAGTATATGTCTAATGGATGTTTCATATGATATATGTATTTTTCTATACAAATTACTTTTATATAAAAAAAATAAAAGGCTTATGATGTTAAGAACAGACACCTAAGGTTTACATTAATAAAAATATTTTTGTAAATATTACACCTTAAATTTCTAACATAACATATTAAGATGAAAGTAAAGTTTTGGTGTTATAAAAATCTCTATGAAAAACGTCTTGCTTAGTTGCAATTTAGGAAACAACACATTTAAAATCAAGATTGTTAGAGAGAGGAAAGCCGGACTAAAAAGATGATGCTTGTGTTAGATTTTAAATGGAGTTATTTTGTAATTTAAAGCTATTTTTACGCTTAGTTAGCCCAGCGCTATTTATGGATTTTACTACGCAGAAAGCAAACTTCCTGCTTAGCCGTAGCTAACAGTAGCCAGCTGAACTACGCAACAATGGCTCAGTAAAACGCCACATATTCTTAGTTAAAAATGGGATTTTCTTACATACCTCAGCAGCCAGAGTCGAAGCCGCCGAAGCGAACAGCAGTAGAAGCACTCTGTCCCACATGTTCCGCCAAAAACGACGCTCCTTGAGGCAGCGTTTTCTTTACCAAGGGCTTTAACGGGAGAGAAGACAGTGAACGTGTGTGAGCAGCGCCGGTGACTGCTGTTGTCTGATGGTGAACATGGAGCAGCTGCTGTTCCAGAGCTGCATCACCTGACCACAGTCACACGGAGGGATTTAAACACACACACAGCAACATATTCGGCGACTCTCAATCCTCTCTGAATGTGTTGGTTTTCTCACTTGAACGTTGGTTTTCAACCCCATTCACAGATTTTTAAGTTGGTTTGAATCACTGGTCTCCAAACATATTTCTGCAGTGATTTGTGAAGAGGTCTGTTATCAAGTCCCCCAGGTCAACACATTCAGAACCATTACTTCACTTCTCTATTGGAATTTATTTTAAACAGCAATTTGTCCAAAAATGCTGTTTTTTTTAACACAAATAAGTAAAATATAAAAACTGAAATTTCACTTACTGCACCCCCCACTTTAAAAATTGCTTTTAGTTCTATTCCTGGTTAATATTTTAGAATTTTCAATGTTACCTTCATAGCTCTACAAATTATTTGATGGTTACTAGTTCTATATGCACTAAGGCCTGAATGTCACATTGGGGACAGTGTAAGGATTTTCTTGTTTTTCTTCAGTTCTCTTTAGCAGACTTTAATCATAATCATATTTGGGAAAATACATCTAATTTTTTTTTTTTTTTTTTGCTTGCAAAGTGAAGCGTTTATTCACTCAAATTTATTGGGTTTTCATATGAAAAGAAACACTTTCACAATAAAAAAACAATTTTAATAAAAATTTAATACATAGTTAAAACAGTGAGGGAAAATATACTTAAAATAATTTTCCTGAATAATCATTCACAGTTATGCAGTCAAATTACTGGTGTCAGAGACAAAACTCATTCTGACTAAAAAAAACAAAAACAAACAAACAAACAAAAGGAAACTAGATTGAAGCCTTTTGTATAAATCAAATAATATTTATACATTAGTTTTGATACTGGGCAGCATTTCAGACACCAAATCCCAATCATGTGAATAAAAATGACATTTTATAGTACATAAATACACAAAAGCTTTTCCTCTGCTGCTATGTATCACTTGGATGCCATTAAATGAAAGATTTTAGACACAAAAGTTGCACAATAATTTTCTCTATGAACTGTGTGCTGTACAGTTAAACAATGGATTTTGGTTCAGGTGAAGTAAATGATTCACAAACTTCAGTTTCCATTTCAAAAGAACTGTCTAACAAGACAATGAAGCAGCAATAACATATTATAATGCAAGTCATGTAAGTATATTTATTTCTTTTTTAACTCCACTGGCAGCCATGTACTTTTTTTAGGCAGGTTCTCCCAGATGGAAGCCGTGACAAGTGAAGGATGTCTTAGAGTAAAACACCTAAATAAAATAGCAATTCCACTCATCACAGTTGTTTCACACTGTTCTCAAGTCCTGTGTAAACCAAAAAATAAAGGTGTCAATTTGAAGAATACATTTCAGTTCAACTGAAAAAAACTGACACCAGGTCAGTTTCAAGTAAACAAGTCCATTCAAGTCACCACCACTGTCCAAAACCTGTCCTTTTTACGTATTCAAGTCTTTGACATGACAGTGGGTAAAAGTCTATCCCTGTCACAGACATAGACCAGGTTTGTGGTCTTCACTCGAGAAAAACATTTCTATTCCAGGACTGTGATTTCTCCTCCGTGCTGAGAAGCCTTTGCCCCCATCACTGAGTCACTCCACCTTGGATGTGCAGGGGGAGAGATGGATGAAGATATTAGCTATATGGAAGGGGGAGGGGAGAAGCAGCAGCTGCAGGAGTCGTGATTACTGCACTTATCACCAACCTGCACATGTGTGGGGTCATCTCATACCAACCTGAATCCCTGATTAATTAGTATTCACTAATCCAGACTCCTGCAGGTAATACACAGTGTCTATACCTTTATTATTCACTGTGGACGATGTGGGTGTGCTGAGACAACAGATTTAGCCACCTATTATTAGCCATTTAAGTCTAATAACATGTTTTTTAAACAAAAATAAATATATGTTTAACCGTTGCTAATAGTTATATACCATTTTGTGGCTTGGATTTCAAGTTTGTAAACCACTCCCTCTCCAGTGCCAGTCCACAAGGAACATCAAGGTGTTCAAGGCCACTAGATCACGGAAGCAATTAGTCTACTGCTTCCACGTTTGAGCAGTTGTCGTTAGGTAGAAAACACTATATTCAGTTTAACGAACGAGCTTTAAATAATGAAGTACAGCTGATGATTACGCTGACCTTACATAACCTACTGTGATGAATGGGCCTTTGTGCAGGACTATGATTAAAAAGCGACAATAACTTGAGTTGTCACTTTTAAAACCACAGGCATCACTAATTGGCTACGATGAACATATGTTGATGGCACTGTACACATTAGTGTGTACAAAATGTTTTTAGAAAGATGTTTCTAAAATGTCTTTGTTTGGAAGTCTTTTTTTCCTGAATCTTTGCTGCCACCTGCAGTCATTTTTGTACACTATAAGCCTCCAAGTCTCGGCCTGCTTCTGAATCTTCACTAAAGCTGTATATACGTTACAATACGTTACAAATAACTCATAGTATTAGGATTAAAAATGAATCCCTACATTTTCACACGGTCACACAAAGTAATCGGTCCTGGGAACATCAGCACGCCACAGTTTTCCACGTATTTTCTTGTTTTCCGTATTTGCCAATAACACCTTCAGTGCTGTGTTTCTTTTATGGTGTGCATTATTTTATATATATATATATATATATATATATATATATGACAGTCAGGTGACAGTCTACATGTTCACTTTTTTGAGGAAAACGTTTCACCCAGTTTTACATAATCAGATTTTGATATTGAAAAAGCACATGCTTTTCTATATATAACTTGATTTGGTTTTAAAAATGTCACCCACGCCACCCACAGGTCACAGGAGAGAAGATGCACGTTTAAATCTGACCAAACACCACACCATCATAAATTCACAGAACTGCCTACCCCCCTCCCCCCCACCTCCCTTCTAGAAGTCAAAGTAGACTTTGTGTCAATGCCGCAGGCAAAAACACTTCCAAAACTGTGAACTCCCACTTCAGTAGAGACTTTTTATGCCTATCTTTAATTATCTCCACCGTTTTTTCCACAGGCCAGTGGTGTATCAACAACCATCACATGTGATAATCGAGCCCTGCAGCATGTTGGGAATCACTTGCGGGTGCAGCCTGGGTAGGGAGGAGGAGGGGAACAGTTGGTCGGCTGAGGCTGCGTTGGTGTGTAGGGCGGCGGGTGCAGTGAGGAGGGGTACATCTCGTAGTCGTAGGTGTATGGAGGTGGAGGACCTGAGGCAAGAACATAAACAAGCTTTGGTTTCAAGGAAAATCCTTTGTCATGGATAATTAAGGCCACTATGTTGTTTCGCTTTCCCCATTTCACCAGGAGTTCAATGGGACAACTACACCCTCTAGCGGTTGAATTAAAGTCTCAAATACTGTTCTGCTTTGGTCGAAGATATGTGAAAAACTGAAGACCATTCCAGAGGATATGTCTACTGTTACTGCGAGTAAAGCAGGTAAAACGAATTATTTGGTGCAGGTAGCTAACTGGGAACATTCCGTTTAATTTAGATTTGTTCATTTAGATTCTACATACGATACTATCCACATGACTGCAGCCTTGTCTGTATACTGTTATCCTGCTTCACGTGTGTATCCATCCAACACAATGTGAACTGCAGAACAGGGTGCAGAGCTGAGAGTGATACACTGAGCACAAGTTTAAATAAAAGATGAGAGAAGTCTTGGAGCCTGAGACTGTGTCAAAACACAGAGTCACATGTGCACACACCTGGACCTGACAGGACAAACGTGCACACACTACTTTTTGCACAGTGTTGAGAGTGGAGGACAAGGCTCCAGTCCAATAAATGTCTGGAGACAACCTGAACTCAGCTCAGGTTCCATAGAAAGTAATCTGAAGCTTTAGCTTTTTTTAAAAAACAATCAGCTCCCTCACACTCAGAATGATCTTCGCAGCCAAGGCAGAAACCCAACACCTTTTCTTCTTCCATGTTTTTTCTTTAGCACCGGCTCTTTTCAGCTCTGACAGTCTGAGGTCAGGATATTCAGTTTCACTGGAGGATAATGAGCCAACCTGAGCGTAAAATGTCATCAGTCTCAATGAAATCCATCTACAACTGCACTCGGACCACATTTCATATCCTAGTCCATTCATTAACAGACTGCAGACAAGGGTTCATTTTCAGTAATTCAGACGTTTTTCTCTTGGACTGAATCTTCTGAAGTACTATTTGTGACACTTAAAGTGGTATGAGTAACCTGACCTCCAACTAAATCTCTATATAGGGAGCCAGAGGTAACAGCAGATATGTACAATTAAGTTGTGGTCAACAATTACTGTTATAATTAAAGCTCCATTGACTGGAATGTAGTTAGAATTATTACATACTTCAGGAGTGGTCATAATTATAAATCAATTATTATTCTATTATATAATGTTCAACTAAACTGGATGAGTGTCATAAAGATTCATGTACCACAGTACAATAGTAATATTGTATGTTTTAGTAAAGTAAAATAAAGAACAGTCTGGTGGTAGGATTAGAGTACAGGTCATTTATTTTATTTAATAGAAGGGGCTAGAGTGGAGGTATTGTGTCTTATGTCTATAGTGTCCAAAACAACTCCCCAACCGTGTCGTGTGAGTTGGTGTATTTGTGTGTAGTGATGCTGCAGACCAACCTGGATACCCCTGTGTCACAGTGCTGATGAAGGATGTGTTAAACACGCCGACCCTCGCACCCTGTCCGTTCTTCAAACACATGCACACGCACAGGAACAAGGCCGCTACCGCCCCCATCAGAAACACCACACCAAAGACAATACCGGAGATGGCAGTGCCCCTGAAACACACATGCACACAACATTCAACGTGAGCAAAGACAGCTGTCTCAAACAGACATGTTAGCAACACTTTAAAGATGCTGTCATGGCAATGACATTGATTTCACAGTTTTGTGATACATGCGTCAGTGTGTGCGTGTGTGTCACTGCGGAGGAGTCTGTGAATTAGCACCACATCACAGATCACAGGCCGGCTGCGTCTTCTTCTCCAGCATTAGTCAGCACGTCATGTCAAATTCTGTCCCACCGCAAGAACCTGTCTTTAAAGCTGTCTTTCTTCTACACCAGTCTGGACACACAGACAGTATTTACAACAGCCATCTGTAGAGATCTGGAGCTGACCCTGAACAGTTTCTGTGACTGCCAGCTTCACCTGAGGGATCACCAACAGTGTCAGCAGCTGCCACTGGACCAGAAGAGCTGACTTGTTGACCCTTTCTTGGCTTGATTTAGCACAGCTGCTGTAACACTTTCACCCAACTATCCTGTCAAACCAATTGTTAGGTGTGTGTGAAAAACAGGGACAGAACAAATGGTCTTGTTAAGGGTAACGACATGTTCAGCATGCACAGATCTTCACCGACTGTGGCTCTGATGAAGATCAGTTTAAAGATGCTAATTAATAAACACTGATGCATTAAATATGGAAATACTCCCTAATACCTTTCTCTCTTAAATTATTTAAATCACCAAACTAAAGAGCCACTCTTTTTAAAAACTAAAACCATATTTAGAACAATGGAACTGTGTAAACTTACGAAAGGACGTCGCCCACGTAGGCATAGTAGGAACAACAGAAAGGTGGTGACCCGTCGCAGCAGTACTCCATACAACCCTTACACTGGGCCTCGATGCCACCTGCAACACACACAAAGAAACTGCTGTGTAAGGAGGTGTGCTGTAAAGACATGTGAAGACAAGATGGTACCTGGACAAACAACTGAAATAAACCGCCATCAGTGATTTAAAAATATCCCCCAGTGTTCCATAGGAGTCTAATAAAAAAAACACACTCAGAACAGACCTGAACATTTTAGGGAAATTTTTCCCTCCTCAGAAGGGAAGAAGTCTGAATGAACGCTTTAATGAAACCTTTCATGAGCTTAACTCAACCACCAGCTTCTATTTTTACCCTTCAAAGAGCAGTGAGAGCTGATTTACGTGGAGCTCAGAGAAACTGAAGTGAAGAAGTACGTGTGTGATGATCTCACATAACAGAACCATGTTTGTCCCAAAAAAAACCCCACACATCTCTGCTGATGAAGCTGTTCTTTTTTTTCTCCAAAGTTTATTCTTTTGTTTTATTCAGCTTTTCTAACAGAACAACGAAACACCCAGGTGTGTGTCGTCACCTAAAACATTACTTATTGTCGTGAACTTCCAAATAAAACAAACATTTGAAAACTATAAAATCAGAATGTTCTGCCAGACATTAATAATTATATTAAGAACAACAATAATAGGCAGAAACAGGTCTCTGGCTCAGACACACAGGGGGAAAACTGATCTCAGCCATATGGCTCATTTTATGGCTTGAAGTGTAACTCTCCAATTCCAAAGCCCATAGAGAAAATCAGCCATTTTAGCCAATGTGGTTACTTCAGCTTTAATGAGAGCTTTGACACTTTCTGACTGGTTCAGAAACCCCTGAGTTTGTGTCTGTAAAGAACTGTCTACTTTAGGGAGAACACAATATGATCAGTGACATACACAGGACCATGAGCCGCAGCTTCTTCTGACAGCAGGATGTGATTCATGTTGGGCCACAGTGTGACTGACATGTGTTCTGATGATGTAAGGTTTGGCACCTGTGCACTGGCTCAGTTCATCAACACCCAAAGGGTTTTTTTTCTACTGCAAACAGATGTGACCTGTTGGTTTGTGTGAATGTGTACATAAATACGCCTTCTGGTCACTTTATTACCTACTTCCTGTTTGCAGTTTCACAGTTCACAGTTTCCCTGCTTGAAATCATAGATTTAAAAAGATGATAAAAATATGAGAGTTATAGCATATTGAAAATTTTCCTATTATGTTCCAAGAAAACACATTAATTATTTAAACATTAGTACAACACAGTATTGCTACAAGGCGGTATAAACTGTTCTTTTATTGTCCAATGTTAATGCTCCATTTTTTCCTCATTCCTCTTCCTAACCCACAGGAGTTGGCTTTTTCTGCTGCTGAGGTCCAGACCGCAGAACAACAACCAAAAATCTCTAAAATACACCTTTTCTTTCCACCTTGAAAGTCATGATGCTGAATGGCTATGAGGTGATTGGCTAATGTCTGTGCAAACAGGAAGTTGAACAAATGTACCTAATCAGATGGCCTCCAAAGGCGTTTGCAAGTGTTCAGGTTAAAACATTTGGAGACTTTTCTCACAGGAACAAGAGCGTGTAATTATAAATGTAGTGCTTTGCCTCCTGCCGTCTCAGATGTGCACATAAGCCTCCAGGCACACATCGTAACAGCGTGAGTGATCGCTGAGAGAACACAGATCCTGTGTGTCAAGCTGTGATGCAGACAAATCTCACACCACTCACGAATGCAGCAGAAGTGTTGAG